CAGCCCCCCCGTCGGTCTGCGCCTCTCCTCCTCCCCAACCCCAACCCTGTCTGTCATTACCAACTACTAACCCCCCTCCCCCTCCTTACCTTTACCTCCAGCAGCTGTGCTCCACTTCTGCTGGGTTAAAGAATGCTCTGTCAATGGAGAAAAAAGCCTTCCTGGGCGCACATGCTGAGGAAGGTACCAAGTGCACCGAGGGGGCCCTTAACTATAGTTCACTGCACATTAAACTAAAATTTAAAAAAAATCTTGCTTGGAGCCCATGCCTCCCAGGTCGCCTGGGCCCCTTACACAAGTACCAGCTGTACCCCCTCCGATGGGAGTCCTGGCCGGGGATTCAGATCAAGACCCCCCCCTGTTCACTTGCAGGACCCCATATGGGGTCGCGACCCACACTTTAAGAAGCACTGCTCTAAAGGATTCCGGCACCACACAGATGCCGGGAAAGCAGGCAGCGCAAGTATACAGAAAGGGGATTGATGTTAATGACCTGACAACTATCCATCCAGCAAAAGGGTTAAATATAAAAAAAATGCTTCTCAGCCTAAAGTCTCATTTAAAATCCAATTATTGCCTTCTTCTGCACATTCTGGACTGGAGGAAGAGGTTACGGTTAGTGCATTACTAACCAGCTCAGGGTGATTGGGAAGTCCGCACTTCTTGCAAGGTTCGTCATCTTCCCCAGGAACTCCTGCCTCTTTTTCCTCATTTTCTGACGCCTCCTCCGACCCTTCCTCGCTGTCTGATTCCTCTGACTCCTCCTCACTGGACGATTTACGTTTGCGTCGTGATCTGGAGTTGGTCCACCGCGTCCTTCGCTTTTGTTTTGGCTTCTGTAAAATGTCATGAAGAGGGGTAATGTGGTAAGAGAGCTTTTCTATACAAAAAGCAAGAATAAAAAAAACAAAAATGTGCCCTTAAAAGAGAACTATGGGGTGTTTTTCCCTATAGTTCTCTTTAGGGTCACGGCAGGAGATATACTAGCGTCCTCCCGTGACCCAAAGCTCAGTATATTGCGGGCTAAGGGGGGGGAGGGGAATCCCTGCGGGGAGCGGTAACTGACAGTCACCGCACACTGCAGGGAGACGATCGGGAAGTGAGCAGATCTGCGGCATGTTTCTGTTCACTTCCCAATCAATAGAGCTGATGTGTGACTTCTTTGTCACAGGTCGGCTCTAACTATGAGGATGAGTGGAAATCACTCACCTCATAGATCTCCTTTAAAAGGAGAACTATGGGGTCAGAGCTTTTCCCCATAGTTCTCCTAAGGTTCACGGAAGAACACAAACTAGCGTTCTCCTGTGACCCAAAGCTCAGTATGATGCAAGCAGTATACTGAGACGCACTGCACCTGGAATGGATCCCGACAATGCTGTCTGGATCCGCCCAGCTACGTGAGTGACAGCTGGACCTGCTTATCCAGAGGCAGAGCCAGCTGTGCCCGCCCCCTCGCCCGTCCGTTCCGCCAGTCAGGGCTGGAAGATCGGACAGGGGAGGGGGGGAATCCCTGCAGGGAGCTGTGAGTGACAATCAGCGCTCTCTGCAGGGATAGATCGAGAAGTGAGCGAGCGGCGCTATGTGTTCGCTCACTTCCCGATCTACTGAGCCGACCTGGGACAGTTTCATTGTCACAGGTCGGCTCAGATTATGAGGCTGAGTGAAAATCACTCGTCACATAATTCTCCTTTAACAGTAACAAAATAAGAACACTTTTGGGGCATTTACCGGTTTTATTTTCTGGCACGGCTCCCTTTCCGCTTTCTTCTCCTCCCTGGCCGGTTTTGCTGGTTCGGGCTTCTCCTCCTCCTCCTCCTCCTCGTCGCTGCTTTGCTTTTTCTCCGGCTTGCGTCCTTTCACCTCAGTTGCCTTTACGGCGGGTCTTGAGATCCTGGGAGATCTCCTCAGCCTCCTCCCGATACTGTCCTCGTTCTCTATATCCTCTGCAGGCATACTCTCCACGGGCAGCTCGGGCCTCCTCTTCTTGTTGGAGATGCGGATTGTCAATTTGATGCCGTCCTTCTGCCTCTCGGAGGTCATCTCTTTGCTCTCCGGGCCGCTGTTGTCCTCTTCCGCCACGGGATCTAGCCTACGCTTATTTCTGGAAAGTAAACTCGGCTTTTCGGAGATTTTGTCCTTGCCCTCGGTCTTCTCCTCCGGCTCTTTAGACTCGGAAGCCGCAACGGCGTCCTCACTTTCCTTCGCGGCCGGCTTTTCCCTCCGCTTGCTCCTCAAACCGAACGTTTTCTTTTCTGCCTCTGAAGGCTTCTTCTCTTGTTTCTCCTTCTCCTCGGCTTTAGTAGAAGACACCGGCTCACACTTCTCCTCCTCCTCCTCCTTTTCTTTACTTTCTGTGGGCTTGTCTTTGCTCAGCGTAGAATTCTTCGCTGTCGCAGATGTTTTTCTGGAGGAGGACAATTTTGACTTTGCAGTAGTTGCACTTACTTTCTTTTTTGCATCTCCTGCCTTGGATCCGGTCTTCTCTTCACTGCCGTCCGCATCTACTTTTTCAGAGTTGCAGGATTTCTTGTCCTCTTCAGAAGGGCATGGCTCTGCTTTCTCAGCCTCGGGCAACTTTTTAACATCAGGGGCATCCGACGTGGACACTTTAGCAGGCTTCTTTGGAACCTTGGCCTCCATTACAGCCTCAGAATCATTGGTGCTCCTTTTACAGTCTTTCTTGGTCTCGGTTGGCTTTTCTTTCACGACAGAAGAAACCGATTCTTTTTTCTCCTCGTCACCTTTGGGGTCCACGCTGGATTTTTGTGTTTCGGACCGAGCTGAACCTTCCTTTAAGGAGGTCTTTGGAGAAGTTTCCTCAGATGAAGAAATAATGATGTCTTTGCTGAGGTCCATTGGGCCTTCTTCCAAATTCTCAGTGATTCTAGGCTTGCTGTTCTCTTTAAGTTCATGCAAACTTTTGATGACGCTGGAAGTCCTCTTCTCGACGATGCCATTTTCTTCCTTTGTTGTGCTGATGATGGATTCTCTAGGGGTGGCGCTAAGATTCTCCGCGTGGTCTATCTTCGCCTTGCGTGGTTTGTCACCGTTCAGTTCTCCGTTCACCAACTGCTTCCCTTCAGAAACCGTGGCGGGAGCAGCGGACGTCTTTGTGCTGTCGTCCTCTGGTTTCTCTTCCTCCTTTTGAAGAAGTTCCTTTGTAGGCGTCTTGGACTTACACAGCGACGTCTTAACCGGTCCGTCGAAGTCATCGGGGAGCTTGAGTTCCCGTTTTTTCAAGGGGATCTTGGCCTGTTGGTCGTTTTTCATTTTCTCTGAATCCTCGACGGATTTTTCAACATGATCTTCGGTGCGCTTGACGATGACAGAAATTTCCGAGTGTTCGGGCTCCTGGGAGGAAGGGACCTTATCGGCAGTCCCTTTTAATTCCTTCAAGTCTTTTGCGTCTGCCTTTTCGCTTTTGATGTCAACTTTCACAGGCTTCACGTTCTCCTTAAAGGAATCGCCTTCGTCTTTGGAAGCCTTTATACCCTCTTCATCGGGGGGCTCCGTTTTTATTTCACTGATTGTTTTTAAGGTCTCCTTATCGCCAGGCTTACCAGTGCTACCGTTTTCTGCTGGACTTGTGGTATTATCTGCGGGATCCGACTTCTGCTTGATTCCTTCCTTTGAATCCTCTTCTGGCTTCTCTGTATGGCATAGATATAGGAAAACACAGTTTATAAAACAAATGCCAAATAAAAGGTTAAAGGCCAAGTTTACCTTTCTGACCATGGTTCATAGAACAACCATATTAAGGATGTAACATGAAAACATGGACAGTTTGGTAGAGAAGAATGTCACCAGCACACCAAAATCCTCTTAGGATAATCAATTGTTCATTGTATTGAACAAATTGTCAGTTGAAAAACAAGTTTTGGGACCTCGCAGTGTCCCTTGATCGGGCTCAACAGCGACCTGATAAAATGAATTGATTATCCTAAAAGGATTTTGGTGTGCTGGTGACATTCTTCTCTACCACACATATGTGATAGCGGCGTCATCCGCAGTCTTTTGCACCATCAGCAGTCATTTGCACCATCCGCAGTCATTTCAGCACCCAGCCTCGTCATTGGGGTTTCTGATAAGGAGTGCGACAAGTTCTTCTCTACAACATGAAGCAATGACAGGTCACAACCCCCAAACCCCCTTCCACCCCCCAACTTACCTGAATCGCAGGGGTCTTCTCCCCGCAGGCTTGTTTACCTTCTTAAATTCGGTGCGGCTACGCATGACGCTGTCCACACAGCCGCGTCATCCATTCATTGATCCCTTGACAGGATCTGCGAATGGAGAAACTACAAGTTCCATCAGCCATGGCAGCAGAGGGTCCTCAATGGAATACAAGTACAGTGAAAACCACACTTGTAGTCCACCGGCACTTCTTCATGTTACTGCATTGTCTGTACCTAGGTACGGACATGGACAGGATAAAACCTCTACAATCAATTATAAAGATATCAAAGAGCCACCAAGGAATTCTATGATTAAAAAACAAAGTGCCCGGGAGACATAAAGCAGGCCGTTTAAAGGAGAACTATGGGGTCAGTGTTTTTCCCCATAGTTCTCCTTAGGGTAACGGGAGGACACAAACTAGCATCCTCCCGTTACCCTAAGCTCAGTATACCGCGAGCTACAGCTCGCGGTATACTGAGACGCCGGAGCGGATCCCGACCTAGATGACGGGATCCGCCCAGCTGCGTGAGTGACAGCTGGCTCTGCCTATCTAGAGGCAGAGCCAGCTGTACCCGCCCCCTCCCC